TTAATATTAAACGTCACACTTTTCAACTCTGTTGACGATTTACATTATTTAATTTTACTTGCTGAACCTAATTGAGCTGTTAGCAGTCAGTACTTAGGCTACTGTTGCAGCAGTTCAGCAGCAGTGAGTCCTTTAAAGAGACACCAGCATGCTACAAAAGCTATACACTTTATGGCCATTTCTTTTTAATGGTAGTATATTTAAAATAAATAATAGACCAATTATATGGCTGTTGCAGCAGGTCTGTGGAGCAAATTTTAACTATATTGACACTGTTGGGGAGTTTAACCTGTAATAGTGCATCACATTTTGTAAGCTCATTATGTTTTATATGTACACTCTTAAAGGCGCAGTGTGATTAAGAGATTAATGAGTTCACAGTTAACAGAGTTAACATTAATTATCACAATGCGAAAACGTAATAGTTCAGATTTTATGTAGCTGCAGTACCAGAGGCTGCAGTTTCAGGACCGCACTCCTGGGACCGGAACTGCATTTCTAGGACCCTTGTTTACTTTGATACTGCCAGCTAGCTAGCTATGCTACTCTCGACAGCCCCCCGAAAACTTAAGTTATTTATTATATGCATGTAGACCTGTTAACCCTACAGCTGCGCACGTGCTAGCAGACAGGGTTAACCTCCTCCGTGTTGTTGTGCATTACCACCACAACTCCACTAGGTGGCGCTGTCTTAATACTGCGGTGCCAGGATTGGAGGGGTCCTGAAACTGCAGCCTCCGGTGCTGCAGCTACATAATATTGGATTTTATTGCAAAAACCTCTATGTATTGAGTTGCAGAGATCAACTGAAGTTAGCATGCTGACCAGCTAACCCTGGCCCATCCTGTGTTGTAATGCACAGTTGTGCCTCTATATGTTCCAATAGCTCAGGTCTCACCAAACCATAGTGGTTAGTCTTTCCACTGTTCCGACAATTACCATCTGTCATTTAATCGAAACATACCCTTAATTATTATTATTATTATGAGTTATACGTGATCATATTCTGGCTCTACATGCTGTGGCTGCCTCTCTGATACCCGACCTGCTTCTCGCTCCTCCCGCTGAGCCCAGTTGCTGCTTGCCGGCTCCAGTTCGGGTGCCTATTCCAGACTCAGTCAGCTAATAGGACCGCTAAGTTAGGCGAACGGCTCACTGAGCTAACTAGCCAGTTAGCAGCAGTGATGATATGTGATAATGCTGCCCCCTATCTACTGTATAGGAATTCGACAGGTCGGGCATTAACTAATAAATACAGCTATTGAAATAGCTGTTTTGTATTTTGAAAAAAAAAAATCAAGAAAAGTAGCTGTACGTTTGATTACTTTATATTCATGTAATAAATATACAAATCTCAATTAGATGACAATTACTCAGCCATTCACTGCCACTGTTACCCTGCAGAGTTCCTTAAATGCCCATTAGAGATGTTGTTATGCACTTCTGCATCACAGTCCACATTGAATCGAGCTCGGACAGTAATTGAACTGGATGTTGCCTATTTTCCTCTCACATGACAGTCTTTTGAGTGGCGTTATGTAAGTCCTCATCAAAGGCCTTCTTTCCTAAAAAGAGTGTCTTCGGTTTAGCTGGCAAACCACTCTCTGCACAACGCTGGGCCACTGCCTGCAGTCTACTGGCATTGAGTTTTCTCATCCTGGCATGAAGTCATCAGTCTTTGACACTCAGAGCAAAGTAGTCTGCTCAAAGTGAGCTTTTGTCAACCTCCGTTAACATTCACAGCAAAAAAGCACTAAGCCATCAAAATGAGATTCTTCTTTCTATTCATCACGCATCCTGAAGAGTCACGACTTGCCAAGAAGTGTGTGTTCACTTCTGTGCACTTACATAAGGATGTTTACACAAATAAAAACTATGATATCACTGGCAACAGGCATTTTGTCACAGAACAAGTTAATTAATTGGATTTGAAAACTGACTGCACTGTAAACTGTTAGACCTTTAACCCATGTTGATTATAATTTGCAGACCATAGTCTCAAACGGAATTGGAGGTAATGGGATTACTCATGTTCAGGCTTATAACTGCAGAAGTTGTGGTTAAGTTTCTGTGCTGAGGTGTACAATTTCCATCTCTTGCTTCAATCATGCTTTGATCACATTATACATTCTCTACAGTATCACATGGGTGATACTGTAGAGAAGGATGAAAAACACAGTCTCTCAGGTGTGCAAGGAGAACAGTGAGAGTTGGAAACCGCTGCGGGTGGAAACCCAAAGACTTTGGCTTCCTTTTATCAGCTGGATCAGTCAGCTCCAGTATCTCTCGTCTTGATTAGAGTGCGCGGTTGCAGGAATAAGAGTCTTAAGTGGAACTGTTAGTGACATGGAAGTAGGAATTAAGTGGGTTGAGAAGCAGCCTGAAATGCAATTTGACCATATGTAGTTAAGGCGCATGTAGAAACTGACTAATTACAGTCCCCTCAACGGTAAGGCAAATTCCTTTGTTGTGCACTGAAGACATTTGGGTTTAAGATCAAAAGATGAGTATGAGACAAGAGTTCAGAATTTAAACTTAGGACATATCACCGTTTGTAGTAGACCACAGCATTCCTAGGTGAGCAAAAGTAATGGAACAAATAATCTTAAAGTAAATAACATTTAATATTTAGTGGCATAACCCTTGCTTGCAATAACTGCATCAAGCCTGCAACCCATCGACATCACCAAACTGTTGCATTCTTAATTTGTAATGCTATTACAGGCTTTTACCACAGCTTCTTTCAGTTCTTGTTTGTTTCGGGGTGTATCTCCCTTCAGTCCTCTCTTAAGGAGGTGAAATACATGCTCTATAGGGTTAAGGTCAGGTGACTGACTTGGCAAGTCTAAAACCTTCCACTTTTTCCCCTGATGAAGTCCTTTGTTTTGTTGGCAGTGTGCTTTGGCTCATTGTCCTTCGATGCATTTCTCTGTAAATTGGCAGACAAAATGTTTCTGTACACTTCTGAATTCATTCTGCTGCTACCATCATCAGTTACATCATCAATAAATATTAATGAGCCTGTTCCAGGAGCAGCCATGCACGCCCAAGCCATAACATCACCTCCACCATGCTTCACAGAGGAGCTTGTATGCTTCGGATCATAAGCAGTTCCTTTCTTTCTCCACACTTTGGCCTTTCCTTCACCTTGGTAGAGATTCATCTTGGTCTCATCAGTCCATAAGATTGTGTTTCAGAACTTTTGCGGCTCATCTCTGTACTTTGCAAATTTCAATCTGGCCTTCTGATTCTTCCTGCTGATGAATGGTTTGCATCTTGTGGTGTGGCCTCATATTTCTGCTCTAAGTCTTCTTCCAACAGTGGATTGTGATATCTTCACCCCTGCACTGTGGAGGTCGTTGGTGATGTCACTGATGTTTTGGGTGGTTTTCTTCAATGCACCATCAAATTTAAGTGAAAACTTTTTACATAGGAGGACAATTTATTTTGCTTGAAACAAGCAAATTTGGCAGACATGTTTATTACCATTGAACCACCATGGTAACGGACTACTGGTGCTGTGGCTCTAGCCTTGGCGATGTCGATCAGTGGGTCCACCACTTTGGTCTATTGGATTGCAACCAATGTTTGTAAATAAAGTCATGTTCCCCAGATGATGTGATTCCCAGGTGGAGTTTCCCCTAGTCCCACCATAAGGTTGACCTTCTTTTGGTTTATGCCCTCCTCAAATTTTGCACCCTTTGGACACCTTTGTGGCAAAAATGCACACCCACAAATAAACTGCTATAAAATCATTATACATCAACATTTTTGTGCTCCCCCCCCCCCATAATTCACTTAAACAACTTCTACCCTGCTAAAAACTACCAAACATTTAGTAATTTAGGATTTTAACGCTTTAAATGCCAATTTATTTATCTGAATTATTTCATTATTTATTGCAACAACAAAAAAAAATATTATTTTGCATAGAATAAATAGTAGTGGAATGGGGCTTTGGTGGTAATTATATTAGTATTGGATGTGTCAAAGATAACCAGCAAAATTTATTTGATTGCATTAGTATTTTTTGTCTTTTCACCTATGAAATGATCAGTGCGTGCTTACAGATTCACACACACACACACACACACACACACACACACAGCCCCGTGGTGGTCACATTGCTCCATAATATATCTGGCAAAAATAAAAGAATTTCATGCATTGGCCTACAATGGGAAAAAGGTTGAATCTGGTAGAACACAGTAAAAAATGTCAAATATAACTATTTTCCTTCTAAATGAAATGCTTACATTATAGAATGCATGGTTTTATAATGTAATCACAGTGAGATTAAAGTGTGGTTACAATGGAAGTCAAGGAGGCATTTTTTTGCCATGAAGGTGTCAAGAGTATTTTGCTATTCTTTCAAATAATTCAACTGGCATTTAAAGGGTTAAAACCTTATAAATGTTAATATTTGGTATATTTAAGCTGGAAATAAGTTTAAGTGATTCATGAAAAAAGGCAAAAAAAAAAAAAAGTATTTTATGTATGATGATTTAACAGCAGTTTTTTTGTTCATGTACATTTTTGCCACAAAAGGTGTCCAGAGGGTACAAAATGCATAGAGTATAAATGACATTTGAGAGTAAAAGACACTGTAATTCAAAAACAATTGCTAAAAAGAAGCATTCCTGCAAAAATTCATGCCACAAGCTGCAAAACAGCCAAAATGACCACCAAATCAACAACAACAGAAAAAAGGTTTAAATGTTTTGCAAACTATTAGATAAATTGCCATGACATTTGATAAACATATTAATTGTTTTCACTTATCCACTGAAAAGTGTCAACATCTACTGTATAGATTGTGACAAAATTTGGTACAGATATTCAGTAGCAGAATGATGTATATGGGATTGAAACTAAGTGTGTGCCAATGTTTGATTAATTGTACAATTAATTGTTGGTTGTGGTCATGGCAGCTATATGCTTTAAACTTGAACAGTGTTGTTCTAAACCTGCAGCAGCCATGAGAGGAAATAAAACGGACATACTGAACAATAAAGCCTTTATTTTTTTGTCTTTCCATAGTTCAAGTTTGTCAGTTCCACCCAAAAGGTGGCAAATAGAGTGAAGGAGTAAGAGGTAGAGAAAGTGTTCCGTTCTCATTGTGATCAGCGTAAATACTTCCTTTTACACACCAAGGGAATGGCCATCCAAAGAAGGCAGACTAAAAAAATGTAAGGAAAAAAAATATATATATCAGCAGCTTCTTTGTGGTGTTGCTAGCTTTCCCTTATTTTTCACAATCATAAATACTCCTAACCCGCTGACTTTTGATAAAGGTTGCACTACAGTGTTAACCAGAGGGGCGATGAGCCACAAACACAGCATGGCAGTCATCATCACTATCATCATCGCCATCAACACCACCACCACCACCACCATTATCGTCACAGTCTCTGAACACTTGGAGTGGGGAAACTGCCACATGGCAAGGGCCTCCTGCTGTGTGTCCAAGGCAAAGGGGCTCTGCATAGTATGGTCAGACAGAAGAATTGATGGCTGCCCACCATGGACTGAAAAAGAGGCTCTCTGCCCAGCACTCAAGTAGAGTACGACCTAGGGAAAAATAAATGGGGCCGTCTCCGCATGAAGGACAGCACAGAAACCTGAGCGGTGGAGCCTGACAGCACATCACTTCAAAGTAGGTGAATGATAGTCAGCTGGCACTGTGAGTACGAGTGTCTGTTTGTGTGTCACACTGCAATAAAACTAACTATTGCCAACCACTCTACCACTCATCAGCATTGCCAGGTTAGGACAGTGCCATGTTACATTAAAAAAGGAGGAGATAGTATTTACATCTTCAACACATAAATTATTTCTGTAACATACTGTCTGTGTAATGCATAATAAAGGTCTCTGGGGGGGAAAAAAATAAACACAAGTGCCTCGTATGAAAAGACTATGCTGACTCCAAAATTGAGAAAAGTAGACCAAGGGAGAAAAAAAATACATTTAAATGCAGCCAAAAGAAAATCATAATGTAGAAGACAGAGAGAGAGAGAGAGAGAGAGAGAGAGAGAGAGAGAGAGAGAGAGAGAGAGAGAGAGAGAGAGAGAGAGAGAGAGAGAGAGAGAGAGAGAGAGAGAGAGAGAGAGAGAGAGAGAGAGAGAGAGAGAGAGAGAGAGAGAGAGAGAGAGAGAGAGAGAAACACAATTAATGCAGGAGTTTATGAGAACAACTTGCAACATGGCACACAGAAAGATAAAGCTGTGAGCTTGATGAGGCAACCCCTGAAAACTTTTAAGGTAGTAACAATGGCAGCACTGAAACCAGCTCGTTAATACCCGAGAAAGAAGAGTACGGAGGGGTCACTTCATGAAGGGCTACAGCTCGGATCAATTTCGGTTCAGATGAAACTGGACACTTTCCATTCTTGCCTCACACCACCACAAGATCTAGGAATGACTTGCATCTCCTTCCATCCAAAATGTGTCCTTTTGATATTTCTTGCATGTTTTGTCTTAGCTCTGGAGCCTCCCATGGCCTGCAACAACAGCAGCAGCCCTGCACTGACCACTTGCCTCAGGACAGAACCAGGTCAAACTGTTCACCTGATGTGATCTGACAAATAAGGCCCTAGTCCGGTAAAATTCACACTTGTCGACAATACACAGTATCAAAACTCTGTATAATGAGTAAACTAACACATATGCAAATATAGCTTTCAATACACAACAACATACACATTAACTGTTGGTTTTGCAGATGAAATTCAAAGTAATCATACAATATATGTCACAAAGAAATAATGGCTGGCTCTGTCCGCTCTCTGAAGAGAGAGATAAAAGGGGCAGTGGGGCAACAACATTTTTTTTTAAAAGAACAAGACAAAAAACAGCAAATCCGGTTCAGTTCATATTTTGCCATGTTGAATAACTGCGCACACACAGGAAGCATGGAGTGAATTAAACCTCTCCAGTTGGTTTTTGACCCCACAAGTTCATATTACAACCACTCTCCCACTCCAGTGCTGCTGGGCTGTTGTCAGTCTTTGGGTCACCCCCCTGTTGTGTGTGGGGGTGCATGAGAGTCTGTCATTCCAGTGAACTTATAAAAAAAAAAAAAGAAAAAAAAAGGTAGGCCATTGGTTTGTTTTGCGGAGAGGTCCCGCCTACCCTGACGGGGTGGTGCCCAGAGGGAGGCCATCAGTCATCCAGGATGACCTTGACAAAACTGGCCACGTCTGTCTCTTTGGAGTCATGCAGGGTGAAAAACGGATGTTGCTGCGGCAAAAAGAAGGAGAGAAAAAAAAAAAACAGGGTTAGAAATACGTTATTTAATGACAAACTACTATTTATAAAAGGATGCCGATCTGTTTTTTTTTACTGTGAAATACACATAATCATCAGTCTTGATGGGTTAAGGCTGGCCAGAGCACACTGATATTACAGCAGGGATTGTTGATAGTGGCAAAGTAGATAAAGTAGCACAAAAATATTTGTTAGTGTTTCTTGGAAAGAGAATACAAACTACTAACCATTAATTCTGTATAAGCTGGTCTCTCATTTGGCTTCTTTCTTAAGCTGTAAAATAAAAGATAAATGCAAAAGTGAGAAAAAAAAGCACATACCAACATTTTATTGAGTTATTAAATAATATAAGACCACATCTATAAATAGTCACGCAACATAAACATCATCTCAAGTCAAGTTGGAGCTCCACAGATACTGCGCTTGTGCCACCTCTCTCAGTAAACAAAGATCAAACACTGACCCCTGCTGGCCCTTTCTTTTACAGGACGGGGAATGTTGAGCAAAGTCTACACATTTGTCATTGAATGCGAGACTCACCACTGGGAGATGAAGTCTACAAACTCTGAGGAGAAACGGTCGGCCGGCAACTGTGGAGACGGCTCGTCCACCACCTGCTTGAGCTGCTGGAACGGGGTGCCCCATGACTCGTAGGGGAATTTCAAAATGGCCAGCTCGATCTAGGACACAGAGAAAGGTTGATGTTTGAGCTTACGTCCATGACGGCATGTTACGATACAATCTGCAAACTATTCCCACAATTCAGAAATCCTTTTCTCTTCTCTAAAAAAGGTCTACAATGAGCTTGAATTCTGTACTATTGAACATTTCATGCCAAATTGTATTTGAATTTTTGGGGAATTCAGAGCTTTCGCAGTTTTCTCTAGATTCAAAAGTGTCAAAGCAAATAGAAGCAAAGACATCGAATCAGATTCTTTAACACATCCTGGTTGAATCATTTGATTTCAGAAGACTCACTTTCCAGAACACCATAAAGGTAAAATTAATAAATATACATTCTGTCAATCTCAGCCTTGTTGTATAATAACTAATGGCAGCACGGACTACTAATTATCTGCCATCCACATGGCGCAGGTATCACACAGTGTCTAAGGCCACCATAACTCAGCATTAGTACTGGGTTGTGCTTGGAAATTACCTTTAATGGCATCTCCTTTGACACTGTTTAGTAAATGCCAAGTGTACCATCAGACAAAATATACTTTTTTAAGGAGAGCAGACTGACAGAGAGTCGTATATTACTGGAGTATTATGAATGTCAAACAAAACAAGGTGCTCATCACAGTTGAAGCTGAGATCGACAGAATGGAGGAAGCTCAAGTTTCACTGATTCTTATTCCTTGTAACGCACTTTGAAGCCTTGTCAAGAAACTTCAATAAAAATTTGAGTTCATTATTTTATTATCATAATAATAACAATATATAGTAGAAAAAGTGATTACATCAGACAAAGCTAACTATTAGCCATTTACATTTTCATGTTTGCCATCAGTGTTAATAATATCTGAAATGAGCTCACAGTAGACAGTAGGACAGTGAATACACAATGAGTCATTTCTTATCTAGAAGGAAAACTTAGTTGTGAGCCACATTTAATCTCAATAAAAGAACAGTAGCATTATCCCAACTGTGTAGAACAAAGAGCCACATTTTAATATCCAACCCAACTCACCATCGTGATACCAAGACTCCATATGTCTGACTTGACACTGTAGCCTTTCTGGCTGAGGTCAGGGTTGATCCGCTCAGGCTGGAATGGAAATTATTAGAAACCGATTAAGTACCACCACTATCTGAAAACATAATAACTTGAACAATAATTTGAAACTATACTAGTAATGTATATTTTAGAATGAATGTTGGCTTTACTGTTCACAAACAGACATAATAATTAATGCAAACTGATAAAAAGCTGTTTCAGTCAGACATGAGAATAAATCTGTTGGCGAGAGAGGATATAAAATAATGTGAGGGGTTCCTGGCCTGGGGATTTCTAGCTTTAAACTGATGAGGGCCTGGTGGACCTCAGACACAGGCAATCCTTCAGTGAATCTCAAAAAGAATCTTAAATCTCAGCTAGCCGGTACCAGGATTCTCTTCTCCGGTCCCAACTCACCGCCATGTAGGGCTTGCAGCCTGCATCTATTGTTTTGGCCACGGAGTCCACCAGGTGGCCACTGATGCCAAAGTCACACATTTTCACTTGGCCCTCGGTGTTGATCAGAACATTGGAGGGCTTCACATCTGTAGAGGGACATTGTTGAGGAAAATGAAGCAAAGAGGACAAAGCAAACCAACAATGAGGAAACAAACAGGCAGGAAACTGAAAACAGTATACACAGATCTTTTGATTACCTCTGTGTATCACTGACAGGTTACTGTGCAGATGCTCTAATGCCTTGACAATCTGTGGAGTGAAGAGATAAAATAAAAGGGTAAATTCAGCAGATGAGAATTATATTTGAGAAATATTACAACCAAACCAGAGATGGTCTTTGTTGGAACAGTGGAAAGACTAACCACAACAGTTTGGTTTGTTTCTGTTGAGTATGAATGAAGTGTGTTTTACGATCAACAAGTCAATTAGTTTAGTGACAAAAGAGAAACTTAAATTCAGAGAGTGTAGGTACGGTTGTATTTTCTGTTTGTAACAATATTACCTCTCTTGACAATTTGTGAGTTTATTTATTATATAAATGCTAAGAGAACCAACTGTAACGAAGCAAACTCGCCGCTTGCACACATCTTCCAGCAGGGTTGGAAGGATTACTTTAAAAATGCAAACCAGTACAATTACTAATTACTTGTTAAAAAACGTGATCAGTAACGTAATCCAAGTACTACAAAATAAACGTAATGCAACCTGATTACTTTTATTTACATTTGGATTACTTCAATACCAAATATGTAAATAAGACAACAGTGTATTAAAGATGCGTTGTCTGCTCGGTGGGTTTTTTCAGGAACATACAATTATATACAGCGGGTGATTAAAACTGCTCAGAATCCACAGCCTGTTCACCCTGCTGCATTCCGGGAAGAAACATAAAAGTTTCAGCTCCTGCACCACCAGGCTGCAGAGCAGCTTTTTCCCCCCAAGCTATCAGACTTTTAAACTATAATTCATCTTCAGCATGCTGTAGCAGAGGGGAGTTACAAACTCAATTTCACTCCATAACCTATTGTATTGTGACATAATAAATCTACCTAGGCCTACCTACATATAAAATATCCCATTCCCATGAAATCAAAATCGATGTTTAAATGTTTTTATATGTTAGGCTATACCTTGCACTGGGCCTGTCATATGGCAGGATCTGTCCAATCAATGACAAACTATGTTGTTTTGTATGTATTCTTGATGATATTTTAGAGCGCGTCATTTCCTGAAAAACTATTTTAAAATGTTGATGAATCCTCCTGCACTGAGGGGCCTGCAATGATTTAGTGACCAATGAAAAGCTTTCTTAATTTTTATGAAGCTGCTGAAAAATAGTGTTTCTGGGGACGGGCACTGCTGTAACTGGATCACATTGGATGGAAAATATTATCTGGTATTCTCTCTGATGTTCCCAGGCTGCTCTGCGGAGTTCTCTGATGGACGGGACCGCGTTACTTGTTGCTGTAACAAGTCAGCTAACTGCTGCTAACTAGCTGCCATTACCGAATTAGCTCAGTTAGCCTGCAGCTACTGGTCAAATTGGCTCACTCTGCCCATACTGGGAAGTCGGAGCACCGGAGTGCGTGTTTAGGTTTACACCTTTACTTAAGCACTGCAGGTTCTCCGGCCAGGAATTGTATGAATGATTGCAGGGAGTGGCACCGGGCTAGCGGGCGAGGAAACCGCACTCAGCAGCTTACCATGAGCAGGACAGAACACAGTCACATTAACGTTCGTTGACTCAGCACTGGGGCGACAACAGCCAAACCGGCAAGAAAATCCCCTTCATACTGTATTCCCAGTGGTCAGACTGGCCTCTGTCGGTCTCCAAGGCTGTGCCGGGTCCGGCAGCAGGAGTCTGCATGAATGGGCGGGGGTGTAACCACATTCAACTACTGGCTACACGCCAATCAATATCTGTGACAAATTCCTCCCTAGCTTTGTGTTTTTACAGAAAACACAAATAGCACACCGCTTTCCGTTTCATGGGAAATAAATTGTGCTTAAAGTAATCCCTATGTGTAATTCCCGTTTTTACAAAATGTACCTGAAATCTGATTATGTCTTTTTTCTGTAACGGAATACGGTTACATTATTTTGTATCCTGATTACGAAACGCCGTTACATGTAATCGTTACTCCCCAAACCTGTGTCCTAGCCACAAAGTGGTTGAGACAGTACAGGCCGTGGCTTGCTCATTAGCATGCTAACTTTAGTAGATATCTCTGCAACTCAATGTACGTATAAACATGCACACATTGCAACTTTAATCCATGCACAAACAGAAGTTAAGAATGTCAAGTTTTGGTTTTGGGAGAAGTTAAAAAATAAGGCATCCATCTGAATCTAGAAAGTCACTAGCCATTTTTATACAGCCATCCGCAATAAACGCGGAAATGAGGCAAAACTGCGGCATAATCCCACAACAGGCATGCGGGCTATGGCTTTCACACAGACATTGCTCTCGCTCTGTTACCACCAACATTGCGGGCTCAGAGGTGGATCAATGTCAGCAGATTGGCACTACCCTCCTGGAAAATAAGGCAGGATGAAAGCGCCTACTGACGCCAAGAAATAATTGCAACATGTTAACCGGGCAATAAAACAATAATGACAATTATCGAATATAATTTTCCTCAATAACAACATAACAAATTGTCAATAAATGTTTCATTTAATTCATTTGAATCAGAAACGAATAAGTACTTATTTTTTCCTATTTATATATTTTGTTGAGGTAAAGGAACTGAAAAAAATATTTTACTTAATTTTACTCATGCATATTTGTTGAAAAAAAGATTTTATCATAATTGTTATGAATGTTCTACCTCAGATTTGTTAAGTGATCCACTGTTTGGCATCAAGTGTTTGTCATGTTCTGTCCGTAAAGAAAAGTTTAAAACCACAATTAACCATCTGGGTTCTTCAACATTTACTCAGGAGCAAAAATCTGAATTTAAACTTAAAAGAACTAATGATTTGACATTCATTGTGATAATTATCAATATCAAATTTTTCAATGTGATAACATTGCAAGTTAACCCCCCCACAAATTGAGGTTCTTCTCATCCTGCTCTTGGACACAAAGTGATTAAGTGCATTTTTCCTAAATGTTGAAGTGTTCCTTTAATGTACAGTCCCCTCCAAAAGTATTGAAACAGGCAAATTCCTTTGTTTTTGTTGTTCACTGAAGACATTTGGGTTTAAGATCAAAAGATGAGTATGAGACAAGAGTTCAGAATTTCAGCTTTCATTTCCTGGTATTCACATCTAGATGTGTCAAACATCTCAGGACATACCACCCTTTGTTTGAACCCACCCATTCTTCAAGTGAGCAAAACTATTGGAACGTGTGACTGACAGATGTTTCTTGTTGCCCAGGTGTTGCCTTTTAGGTTGATAGTCCAAACACTAAATAGCTCTGCAGGACTAGACTAAGTTTTCATCCTTGGTTCGCACCTATAAAGACTGCATTTCCTGTTAAAGAGGATAAACCAACATGAAGACCAGAGAGCTGTCTATGGGAGAAAAGCAAGCCACTGTCAAGCTGCGAAAAGAAGGAAAATCGACCAGAGCCATTGGACAAACATTGGGCAAAGCAAGCATAACAATTTGGAAAGTCCTGAAAAAGAAAGAAACTACTGGTGTACTGAGCAACAGATGTCGAACAGGTCGGCCAAGGAAAACAACAGTAGTTGATGACAGAAATATCATGAGAGCTGTGAATAAAACCACCAAAACATCAGTAAGTGACATCACCAACGACCTCTACAGTGCAGGGTGAAGGTATCACAATCCACTGTTGGAAGAAGACTCAGAGAGCAGAAATATGAGGCCACACCACAAGATGCAAACCACTCATCAGCAGGAAGAATCGGAAGGCCAGATTGAAATTTGCAAAAAAGAGAGCTGCAAAAGTTCTGAAACACGATCTTATGGACTGATGAGACCAAGATGAATCTCAACCAAAGTGAAGGAAAGGCCAAAGTGTGGAGAAAGAAAGGAACTGCTTATGATCCGAAGCATACAAGCTCCTCTGTGAAGCCTGGTGGAGGTGATGTTATGGCTTGGGCGTGCATGGCTGCTCCTGGAACAGGCTCATTAATATTTATTGATGATGTAACTGATGATGGTAGCAGCAGAATGAATTCAGAAGTGTACAGAAACATTTTGTCTGCCAATTTACAGAGAAATGCATCGAAGGACAATGAGCCAAAGCACACTGCCAACAAAACAAAGGACTTCATCAGGGGAAAAAGTGGAAGGTTTTAGACTTGCCAAGTCAATCACCTGACCTTAACCCTATAGAGCATGTATTTCACCTCCTTAAGAGAGGACTGAAGGGAGAAACACCCCGAAACATACAACTGAAAGAAGCTGTGGTAAAAGCCTGGAATAGCATCACAAATTAAGAATGCAACAGTTTGGTGATGTCGATGGGTTGCAGGCTTGATGCAGTTATTGCAAGCAAGGGTTATGCCACCAAATATTAAATGTTATTTACTATGTTATTTATTTGTTCCATTACTTTTGCTCACTTGAAGAATGCTGTGGTCTAATGCAGGGTGGTATGTCCTGAGTTGTTTAACACATCTAGATGTGAATACCAGGAGATGAGAGCTGAAATTCTGAACTCTTGTCTCATACTCATCTTTTGATCTAAAACCCAAATGTCTTCAGTGAACAACAAAAACAAAGGAATTTGCCTTACCGTTCCAATACTTTGAAGGGACTGTACATGTAAGCACACTGATAACTCAGTATAATAGTGTAATGGGACAGGACGTACCGCTACTGTGATCTTGCCCAAGATGTCTTCGGGGATTTCTTTGCCTTTCTCAATAACCTTCTTATAGAACTTATCCAGAGACGTGTCCATCAGCTCCATACAGATCCAAACATCTCCCTGAAAAAAAGATGTCACCCAAAAATATGAAATGACATGATCACACACTCAACACCAACTCAGGCCCGAGATCATGCCAGTCATTAATGTCGTATTTTATTCACCTCTCTGAAGAGGGCGCCATAGAAGGTCACAGTGAAGAAGCAATCCACCGTCCTCATGGAAATGTCCAGGTCCATCAGAAGCCTCTTCTGCTCCAGAGTGTTGACTGTGGCACGAATCCTCTGGGGACACAAACATCACAGATTGGGCTGCCAGTAGAGATGGATTTTCAGCTTGATCGGCTATGACCGCTTACCGGCCGATCAGTCTCACATGTCCAATTCTATCCAGGTAAATTTACACACATGCGGCGCTGCACGATGATTTACGTCATGCGCATTGACTTTACTTGGGCGGAAAAATTCAAAAGACGAGTTCTGTGTCTTTTTTTGAAGCGACTTTCTAAAAACGTACTGCTGAGGGAGGACGTCAGCAGAGCAGACGCATGAAGGGAAGAGAAACAAAGAGAGGTGGAGCAAGCCGGTGCAGTAAGAGACCAGAGCTGCAGGTGCGTGAGTGTGGGGGGCAAAAAAGAGAACTAAAGGGAGTGGAGTAGTAAAAAAATAAATACAAAAACGCAGAAATAAAATTGTGAAATGAAAAATAACATAGTAGAAATTGACAGCACCCTGTCATTCTGTGGGAAACACAGATAGGGTAATGTATTCTGTGGGAAACTGTAAGCCGTATTGTACTGCAATTTAATTTCAGTATCAGTAATTATTTGTGCAAAAAAGCTCTAGCCAGCAGCCTAACCTGGAGAACTTTTTTATTCTGAGTGATGTGTTTGACCCATGTGAGAGAAGATCCTGTAACCTGGTGCAGTTAATGAGAAAATTTTAAAGTTATTAAATAGTCAATGTTGTATTACAAACATACTATTGAATAGACCGTAGGAAGACTAAACAACACTGACTGGTGTAAATGGGGTTCTAATAAAGAAAGAATTCTCATCATCTAAAAGTTACAAAAATGTTTGTGAAAGCTGTCCAATAAAGAAGAAAAATCAGAATCGGCAGGTCAGAAAATTGCCATCAGTGCACGTCTGGCTGTCGGTGTAATCAGCAGGCAGATATAGCTTAAATGGTGTCCTATTACCCACCTCTATATAACATGTCATATATCCGATAGATCCCGTGCAAATGTTTACAAGCTGAGCTCATCTGCTGAATACATCTATGAGTAATGGTTCTATTTTAAAAGCACGGTGCATTTACAGAGATGCCAAAAATGTAACCCGAGTAGCTGCCTACCTTGACAGCCATAATAACACCACTGGGCACATGTTTCATCTTGTCCACCACGCCATACGCTCCCCTCCCCAGCTCTTCAATCTGCTCCAAGTCATCTGCCTTCACCACAAAGTTCTGGACAGAGAAAGCAGACATTAAAAGTAATGCATTTATTCAGCTCAGCAAAAAAAACAAAACAAAACAGCATGTTTCAGAGGAATACAGAGCCAACTTTACCTGATCTCCAATTGTGACGCAAGCCTTCGAGTCAAGATCTCGAGGTGGCCTGTGGTGAGAGTTTTAATCAGTTTTAATGCCACAATGCTCAGTAATGGAATTTTCATAAAGAGAAGTTGGGAATGTTTATTAGAGCAATTTATAAGATTCATCTGAAGCAAACATTGATTAAAGTCAGCGCTAAAACCAATTATGAATTCAAGTGATCCATTCGAGGACTCACTCTCTTAAACCATATAACTCTGGTGCATGTAATTAACAATTGCAGCAAGCAGTGGAGCTCTAAATGGAGTGCAGAGGCTGTGCCCCAGAATTATATCTTCTAAAAATCTGTGTGCCTCCAGATCTTTGGTCACTTCGTCACAAGAAAACATTTCTGATTAGGATCCCATCATTTCTCCCCCCCTTATAAGCGTTTGTGGCCAAGATAAGTACAGTGCAGAACATTTTACAGTTGAAAACAATAAACTTGTCAGTGCTCTTTGTTAGACTCAGCTTCTAAAACGCCTCAAACACATCTGTGGCATTTCTGTGTTACTTACTGGCCAACATATACACCCGATACAGATAATTCTGCAACAAGCCAATAATGGGACAATGTATTGGCCCAGTATTGGCTTTTTGCAGAGCCATTTTAGCAGCCTGGCTCTAATTTGGAGACCCTCTTAGGGTGCAATGGCTTCCGTCACTACCCCATGAAGTATACCCCAGTTTAAAAGGAGCCTTACGCTGCTGCTGCTGGTTGTGGCGGCAGAAACACTTCTTTGGCCAGCTTCAGCCCAGGGTTCTTCTTCTTCCCTTAGAGACAAGAAATAAGACAACCATTACCATCTCAGCCCAGTGATAGATATGCAGTGATCAATAAAGGTGGCTTTAGAAACAATAACACGCTAGTAGGATTACAGACCATTAAGTGCAAACTAAATGGACTTTGCTTTGTTTTCATATATTTGCATCGGGCCTATAGATAGGGGGATTTTATTCTATTCTGGTAGTAAGGGATGTTTTCAAGGTTGCGTCTAACACAAGCTATAAAAAATGATCTGTTATCTAAGTGGAGATTAGGTGTAGGCCTACTTAAAACAGTGGTCCCGCAATACAGAGTAGGTGGACTACATGACTAATCGACACTGGTATGATGACTCAAATAGAGAAAAGGGGGTGGGAGTGGAAGAGGGGGGTGTTTTTACAATCAGTGCTATCAAATCAAAGCTATCAGTGTGTGTTTTTTTCTGTTTGACCCCCCCCAACCTCATGTCTAGGATCCTTTACAAGTTTTTTTTTATATCTGGAGCATGGTGCGGTAAACTTTGCAGCTCTGGGACCTTTTCTGTGTTAAATCACTGACAGTCCATTCATAAACATAGTTTACCAGCAGCCTCTGGGACTTCCCACAAGGGGCTGCGAGTCCCTGCCAGAATGACACAGCCTGCGAGCAACAACACAGGAAAAACAACTCAACATTTCTCGGCATGGACACTCATGTTCAGCGTGTTCGCTCTTGTTGCAAGGCCGACAGGAAAAACAGAACACTTTTCTTGACCTTAATCTCTGTGTGTGCTAGGCCTTGGCCAACAATTTCACCCACTGGGATATGATGAGAAACAGTTAAGAACTGGCTGGTTATTTCCGGTTCTTGTCCTGCTGCACACATGCTCGGGGTCAGGCTGTGTAATTATTCTACCACAGTTCAGAGAAACTGTCTTAATGCATAAGGAAGTCACCTTAACTTCCAACAAATGCAACAGCTGTTAATAAAAAGGTAGCAAAAGTTGGCAGTGTGACAATTTATTGGTATGATTTTAACCAGAAATGGGAATTACAGCTCACTGAATGGAGCCGGATCTTAGGCTCTGTTCCTTTCCGATAGCTGTTCTTTTGAATGGTTCACTAGAGTTTACGCCCGACACTCACTTTAACTGTGATTAAAACTGTGGGCTTGTATTTGCCATTGAGTGACTCACACCACTCCAGTGTAGCGGAAGTATGATTGTGTAAACCCCTCCTTGCTACAGTAGATCAGGCTGGAGGGGAAGTGAAGTTTTACCAAGGGTTTAGATTCTATGGTCTACCACTGTAACGTCAGACAGGTCCATTTTGTGCTGCAGCCCTAAAATAGGCCCACAGTGGCTGGACAGACTACAGCAGTCTCATGTGGTGTGAGACTGAAGTGTGATTTACTCACACATGCTCAGTCAAAAATAGATTTTGTGTTTCCTCTGTGTGGGATAAAATACTTAAAGCCTTCCGATAACCTGACAAATAAGACAGCCGTTTTGTTTGTGCAACAAAAAATTGGGTAGCACACGAATATGATGGTGTAATACAAAACCATCCGAACCGCCAAAGCTGTTTTTAAGCGGAGATGTCTAATAATACTGCTGCCTCATGAAAACTACCAATATGATGCTATACTCTGCAGTTTATAACACTGCACATTATAGTTTTAATCAAGTCTGAGTTACATATTTACTAGGGCAGCAGCTAATGATTATTATTATTTCATAATGATTAGTCGACTAGTCACGATTATTTTTGTCACACCCAAACCCTAATTAAACCATTTAAGCCTAACTAGCTAACATTACCATTAAGTGAACGAGGTTTACTATTCAGAATGAACACCAGTATCAATGCCAGGGGGGACCAGGGAAGAAGACAAGACAGCGTAGGCTACTCTTATAAGTCACTGATTTATACAAAGTTTAAAACTTTTAACTGTTTAACAAAGATTTTTGCTTTGGAACTATATAAAATAAAAGCAAATTAAAAGCAAGTACTACAACAACAATTGTACACTAACAATGTTATGTAAAGCAACAGCCCCCTTTCACACTACGTCTGTAGTTTATTGTTCAAAAGTGCTTGTAATTTTTAGGCTATAACTTAGTGGAGAATGTTCTGTAGGCTACATCACGAGCCAAATGTTCCTTGATTTACTTTAAACCATTACTCATTACTAATAACTTATTTAAAGCTGGGTCTTTAACGTTGACAGCATTGTTTTGGACAGATTTGTGCAGCGGTGTTCATGAGAGCGAGAGGAAGTGCTGCATTGTGGAGCTTCTCAACCCCTAAAACTTTGTTCTTAATGAGAAGATTATTGCTATCTTTCCCTTAATCGGCATCTTTGTAACGATGCGTCGACATTGAAATTTCACATTGACAAATTTTTATAGTCGAGGTTGCCAATTATGTCGAGTAATCGTTGAAGCCCTAATATTTACTGTGAAGTATTATTGGACTTTAACTACCATCCCCTCTCAGGTAGCAGTGTGTGGTGTGTATCCCTGTAGCTGGGACCATGGGACATGATTCACAGTCAGCCAGACTGGACACATCCGCTTAAACCACAACAACTGTCAGGGACCATTTGGAAATATGATTCAATTCCCTCCACTAGCTGCTCGCTGTCCCGTTAGGGCCAACTGAGGCCAGCTTCACAGCAGCTTGCTGCTGCAGGACCGGCCTGCCTGGTCCTCAAACTGAGCCTGATAGGACACAATAGTGCCATGACATCAGCCTCAGCTGCACAGGAAAAATACATCTGCACAGATACCATTTTCTCAGAAAGGATCTGAGTAAGTAAGTGAGAGAAGTGGGTGGTGCAGAGTAGAAATCCCAGAGCTTCCTGTACTTCAAATCATGCCACTGCGAGTGGTTTATCATGAAATTAAACATTTCTATGAATGTGTGCACTGAAATCTTGTTTTATGTCCAAAAGATGGCACAAACTGCATTCTGCAATCTCTAGACTGCAGACAGTCCCTCATACAGAGAAAGGTTTATTAACCTAAAGCATAAAGTACTGATCATGGTCCCTTAATTAAAGTATTACTACTACAGGCAGTAGCAGTGAATTGGTGCACTTCTACAGGAAACGCAGCAAATTCTTCGAAAAACCAAAGGTGCTCAGTGGAAAATAGTCAGTGTTTGCAGTAATACATACGTAGTGTGTACAAAAATTTCTGGATTGTGCATGGGATCAAAGTGTCAATAGCTATGTGGCGAGTCACCATCAGGAAGATCCAGCCTCTGAGTGGGTCCATATACAGAAAAAAGGATGACTCATGCACAGATAATCTTCCACACCACCCTATCTTGCAGAGAGGGAGAACCCTATCTCCAAACATGCCTCAGCAATACCATGAGCAGCACTGCAAGGCCCACTCCACCCTTTGAAAGGAGGCACAACTCCTTATGGTGGCCAGAAAAACAAACCCTCTCACAAAAGACATCTCATGCCTGCTCCGTTGCGCACAATAATTACAGCACAGAACCTGTGTAGCAGCTATAGAGTATCTGTTTGCAGCCAGTGAACTGTCAACAAAGGGAGGCTGCACTAGGTATTGGTGCTGCAAGTCAAAACATGCCATGGTAGGCCAAAAGCTGTGATTGCCTGAGCAGCACCCAGCCAATCTACACAGCCCTCTGACACACTGTGTACTCCCGACCATGGTAACGCTAGTATGATTGTGTAACAACACAAGCGGTGAACTTGAAATGTAAATTGACATCATCATCATGTTGTGTGTGACGCAGAGGAAGGACCTTGATTTTTCCAAGCTGTGTGTGTTTTATTCAACAGTGTGCAGTAATTACATAGCAGACTGACTGGCGGAAGCTTAGCGCCCTGGTTCCTTGGCATCGCCGCCTTGTTTTAAAAATAAGGAATTTCCAGAACGGAAAAAAAAAAAACAAGATTTTTCACAGACGCGGGCTAAAAATATGTTTGCGCTAACACACTGGCCAATCCAAAAGGACCCAACACAATCGATCAGTCATGAGGCCGAAAAACACTTGAACACCTGTGGTGTTACCGAAACTAATCCCAGCGCGCTGATATGCAGTTGGTTCACAATTACAGCTCGGCAAAAGTCCTTTATTGTCGTGGAAAATAATGTTAGCTAACCACAAGACGGGAACTAAAACGAAGCCGTGCGAGTGTACCATTTAGCTGAAATATTAACTATAAAAACTATTTAGCACACTATCAGCAGGTCTGTGATGAATACCTTCAGACACCAGGGTGTCTGCAGACTTAATGATAGAACGCAGCAAAGACATGCTGGCTAGCTTTTTTAACTCCTCTCATACATGCAGCTTTCCACCTGGCAAGGTTTCTCAAACGTAGCAAGCAAAATTACCTCAGCAAACTGCACCTCGTTTTTTAACACATATGCAAGACTGTTTTAAAAAATGAGTGGAATAAAAAAAAAATCACTTACCTCCTTTAGACAGAGACATTTCCCCTTTACTTTGATGAGGGGGAAGGGAAGCACAAAGACTTTTTTTACTCCCTCCCTCCCTGCATCAAGCCTTAACGTTACACCCGCTCAGGCTTGTGCAAAAACTAGCTGCGGTTAAAACTAAATGGTTCGTCTTCATGCAATTATAGCGCTTCAATCACCAGCTCACACGTTCAAAGATCGATCAGTAGATGAATGCACAACTTTTAATAAAGTCGACGCGGGTTGTGGAGTTCGCGTTACTTTGCTAACAAAACCTGCACTTTTAGATGGCAATGGCCAAAGTCTGACAGCTGAAGATCCAACGACGTATTGACGTATTTCCTGCCTCGTGCTAAGCGTCATGGGATGTGTAGTTTGCATTTTTTTTTCTGTAAAGATTCTTTTCCAACAAAAACTGAAACGAATAAATAACACGAAACTACACTACGATCATACAGTAATTTCGCCACCACAGACATGTTTTGTTATCATCTTTTATTATTATTTCAGGATGAAAATTACACACTGGTGTAGTTTCTATAAACGCTTTATAAAAAGCGTGTCTAACAATAAATAAGAAACTAAAACAAAATACCAAAAGTCTTGCAATTCAACTACAGTATACAGAGGAACACAGACAATGGGATTGCACTTTAATTCACACATTTTGGTATGCAAACAACAAGGATACAAGTGTATGGATACCATGAGCTAAAAATCTATATTTTACTGCTGAATAGCCAAATGCATAAAATGAATAATATTTTATTTCAAAGCAAAACATATATAATAGGCTACCTATGCAAACAACTTTAACCATAGATTTAATAAAGTCAAAGAACAAACTGCTAAAACTATAAAATACCCAAACAAATACAGTACAGTGAAGTGTTTTTTCTCTTAGTATGAGTGAAATACTGAAAGACTGTTATAATCAACGCTGAGCCGTTAAATTGTCTGTCCTTTATTGTACCAAACGCCTCCTTACTAAATAGTTGGAAGACAACAAAATGCTCAAACTACTCAACAATGGAGATGTCACAGACCTGACGCATGTACATGTGCTGCGATATGAGTTTACTTTGGAATATGTGCATGTGATTGTGTGGGTGGATGACCAATGGTGAGGCCACACCTAATTCCTGTATTTACTTCCTGGCAACAAGGAGGGTATGGTAGAGAGGTTTTATTATAATGTGCAGATAGAGGGAGCTTTCAATAAGGTACTCAGATGCACGGCGCTGCAGGTCGGCATCTGTAAGGAAATCCCCGGCCTCCTCCGTGCTTTGGTGGAAGTTGTAGACGTGGCGAACCACCACCTTTCCTTGCTGTCTTGCCATCACAATCACCGTCTTCTGGAAACTCACACCGGCAAAGTCCGGGCTTGAAGTGGCCGGTGTGACAATGATGCGGGGTCGACCTCCATCTGTACGCGTAGGCTGCATGGCACCCAGCTCAGCGTAGGTCGACCTGGCAGTGAGAGGGAACCAGCGAGGGGAGAACAGGGCGTTCCAGGTCACTCTCTTACTAGAGTCGTGGCCGCTGGGCCCGAGCTGGGTCTGAAAGCTGAAACTGCGGTCATCACGGGTGGGGTTGTTGATGACCCAAGGGGAACCCCAGGAGGAGGACAGGTAGTTACGGGGAGTGAAAATACTGCAGTTGACATCAAAGTACTTGGCCAGTTGGATAGGTGAGGCAGAGTGAAATTGGAAAGCTAGATAGAGTAGATCACGGATAGACTCGTAATACTTCTGCATGAGGGGCGATTGCTTCTGAAGACGAAAGAGGTGCTGAGGGGGGATCATGCCGTATCGAACAGCCTTTAGGGCGCTTTCCACTGTGGCACTGACAGGCTGGTTCTGGTTAATCCAGGCCTCCAGGGCCTCGAAGAGCTCCAGCTCACTCTGCAGAATGAGATCAGAGCGCTGGAGCAAGGAGAGGAGCAGGTCTTCACTGATGGAGACCCATTCTCCACTCTGCAGCACAGAAGACAAGTTCCAGGACAGGTACTGCAGGCAGCTGTCCCGCAGGGCCATGTCCCCATTTTGTAGTGCATAGTTGTACCAGCCAACTACATGGCCTGTGGGCGAATCACTAGACAGATGTTGGGTCATATATTGGGTCAGACCCTGTTGCAAGCCCCACACATGGTACTTGCTGGCAAGCTTATGAAGGGAAATGGCCTGATCGAGCCGTACGGAGATGTCACCGCAGTACAGATACCTGCAAGAGAAAAAAAGGGCAGAATAGTCATCTAAAGAAATTAACATACATATTGTTGAAGCAATGTTTCAGTAAAGCTTACTACACTGTACTTTGAAGCTTGTTTTCCCTCCTAACATCTGAGTCACTGAATAAACCCACACTGTTTGATTTTTCTACTGTGAGCCTCAAACAGCAAATGTAATTTTAGAATATTTCACAAGATGGAGCATCTCACCTCTCCAAAGGAGAGAAGCAAAATGGTGAGTGAAGCTCTTTAATTTTACGCTTGTGAAAAATAGCATCTACAAATAGCTCCACAGTTTCTTGAATGACTGAACCTGATTAACTCTAAATAAAAAATTACCCCGCAGTCAGCCTCACCTGACAAACTTGTCAAAGACAGCCGCGCAGTCGGGCGTCTCCCTCAAAACCACAGCACTGTTATTGCGGCTGAGTAGCAGTTCCTCAAACACGTCGCTCTGCATTGTGAGAACAAGGCTGTGGGCCTGGATCACCTTCACCTCGTCCGTGTTGATGGTCTGCACCCGGAGAGTGACATCACTGCCGTTCCCCAAGGCCAGCAGGGTCTCCATACGGTGCACCAAACTCATGGAGTGATTCAGCACCGTGGCCCCATTGTCCAATGCTGCCTCCTGCTTCAGGGCAGCTGTGGATGACATAGTGCAACGTGGCAGCACTTCACAGAAACTCAACCATCAATATTTTAATGCCAAAGAAATTTGCCTTGGAATTGCACATGACCACAGTATCAGCTTCTGAATTCAGACAGTAGCTAACATTCTTTCTTATTTTCTACTCCTGACTGTGCTTTCCAAGAAGAAGAGAAGGAGCAGAATTCATGTGCAACAACTTAAATAATATTTGATACAGCAAGAACTGGAAACACACTCCTTAGCTCTTTCGGCTAAAACCACAACTGATTATATGTGTCAGGGGGAAAAGCAGACTTGCACACTTTCTTCTATTCTTCCAGTTTCAATTAAACAAGAAAGAGAGCAACAAGCCAGGTGGCTGACTAAGAAAACCCCCGTTACCAGATGCACACAAAAGAATCCTGAGTTTGCAGCGCCATTGCAGATGGCTGCTTCTATGGGCCCTCTTGTGCGTAAGTACAAGAGGCACATACTGGAGAATTGCACATGAAAGACTCAGCGTGACAAGCTACTGCTCTGCCACAGCCATCAGCAGCCTTGTTGGCCTATTACTGGGTGTTTAATGAGACACAGGGGGAGCACACTTGGCTCCCTGGAATGTCTCACAGTCTTCATATCGCTACCACAATCAAGCGCCCCCCACTTCAAAGTAACCTTTTTCCAATTAGCCAGCCAGCACCCTGAGCCAGCTGAGCATGGTGGCATGCGTGTTTGTGTGTAGGGGGTGTTTTGTCAAATGATTCTGGCACAGTGTAGCAAATTGAAAAATCACCTAATTCATTATAACTGAGGAAACAGTACTATTTGTTACATAATTTACTTTTTTTCTGATTCTGTAAGAAAAATAAACATCCAAGAGATTCAATTCAAAGTAGGCAAAAAAGTAAGGAATAAAGAATGTTTCAGTGTCTCTCCCATTTAAGCTGAGAAGAGCTGAAGACATTAAATAAAACATTTTATACACAGTCACTAAATATAGGATTAGATGAGTCTGCACTCAGGAGGAATTTCAGATGAAATTTAATCTGACAGCACAGGAATGTGGCCTTCAATAGCTTTGGTCAAAATCAGTCAAAGTCAGATCTTCTTTAAGGAGTAAGAAAATCTTTTCCTCGGCGCTTGTACTGTATTACTGAGCCGGCACAAAGCCAGTCAGCAAATGGACTTGCCTGTCTTTCTCTGCATCCAGCAGACAGATAGATGAGGACAGGATGAGTAGAATAGATAAATAGCCATCCCCTGCCCTGAGGCTGAGCGTGAGCCACGGATTCATGCTGTGCCCTACTACCCACCGACAGTATGGGGGAAGCTGGACTGAAATAGAACAATACAGCTTCTCTTCCAATGTAGGGTATTAAAAAAAAAAGAAGCACAAGTGATATAAGTCTTTAGAAGCAAACAATTTAAAGTACTGATGCCATTTGTCATCTTACCTCCTCTAATTGAGTGGAAGTGGATTAAGAGGAGCAGGGTGCCCACACAGACCCAGGCAGGGCTCCCTTGTTCACATGAGCGTGCCATATCTTCTCAGTTATTCCCTGCCTCTCTTCCTTTGTCCTTTCCCCCCTCTCTTCCTTACTCTGTGCCACTCTTCTCCTGACTCTTCTTCTTGCTGCTGTGCCTTTGGCCGCGTGTGTGTGCGGAAAGGTGTGTTGCCCCGTGTGTGCCGCCCGGCTCCCTGTCCCGCACTCTTTATGTAGGACGCTGGCCTTTCCCTGGCGCATCTTGCAACCCCACGGACTCCATTGATTGGTGGAATCTGGCAGGGGCGTTGCTATAGCGACAGCTTTGATTTTGAATTTCTCCCTTTTGGATGTAACATGGCATTGATCAGTAGCACCGGGCCAGCCAAGGACTCTGCTTAATGGTTTTTGGGGGGTGGGTCAGGGGGGGTTAGGCACTATTAACAATCAATATTAGCACACTTTCATGTTTTAATGGTACTCAGCATGCAACCAATCTCTGGACTGCAACATTTTTTTAGGATATCTGAGTTAAGTAGAATCAGTGGCATATAATTAGTCAATTAATTACAGGAGGTTGCCACTGAGACTATCTGCCAGTAGTAATTGTGGTTCTAAAATGTGTGACCAACTGCAGTCAATCAAATTTCATAATCCATTTTGTAAGACCGCTTTTTCATCTGAGAGCAATTATTTCTCTTATGGCAAGTTAATCTCACTAATGGGAGGATAATTTCATTTCTAATTTCATTGTTACTGGGTCTGCTCATCAATTTAGGGCAAGCTCTATTAATCAAATTTAACTGCCAATCAGGATTTTATTATATTGTCACATTACTGATTCTGAAATAAATAGATTTTTTTCTGTTAATGTCACTGTGAATGATCAAGTAGGCTACATGTCCCTGCAACTATTTTCCAGGTGCATCTGTTGCATCACAGACCATACAGAGGGCAGCGGGTTCAATTAAT